TCAATAGAGAAATGAAAATACAATGAACAGAGGAGACTCAAAAAACTCGAGTTGGAGAGGTCAAATGAAGACAAGATAACAAAATTAAAAAAAAAAATAAAAAATAAAAATAAAAACAATTTCCTCCATTCCAATAGGCAGGTGTTTCAAAGTCATTAAAAATAAAAATAAAAAGCATTCCGATTATTACCCCTCTCATAATTTTTTATTTTTCTTTTTTAGATTTGCTTCCAAAGTTTTAAAAATGAACAACAATTAATGGCACCTTCTCAATTGACATAAATTTTTAGCTTTAGCTTTAGAATGTCCATCTGTGACCTCCATTTAACAGTGTTTAGCCAATCAAGGAAAAAAAAAAGGCTGAAGACTAATCCCTCTAAAGGTAAGATGAGGTCATAATTTAGCTTAGAGGTAATTATAAAGAAACAAAGATAGTTTCTTCACTAAAAACATTATAAAAGGTACTAGAAAACAACCTTAAGAGAATGTTTCAAAGTATTTAAAACTAAAGGGTAATTGTTGCAGAGTTATCCCTCACCAAATTTTCTAATGCATAAAATACCCTAGCGCATTCACAATTTAATATTTTAATTTACTCCTACGTTTTATGTTGTGTTGTTGCCTGTTTACAAGGCCCTTAGCAGAAATTCAGAAAGTAAAACAATGTTTTCCATTTGAAAGTTAAAACCATGCCAATATTTTGGGATGCCTAAAAATGAAACAAGTTTCAAAAAGTTGAACAAAAGTGAGATAGGGTACAAGTAGAGAATAAATATATATATAAACCTTCTAAGAAGACTCATAAAGAGTGCAAAGATACATAGTTTGTCATCTGTGAGGGAGTAATTAGGATGATATATTCAATAGTTAATGTCAAAGGGTTATGAAAGAAGTTAAACAAGCAAGTTTTAATACAGTTAAGATTTTTAACCAAAATCCAATTCTAGGGTTTTATATTGATATACCAGAAGAAGGGAGAGAGAGAAAGAAATCAGTGTTTGGGAACAGGTCTGGACCAGACCAGACCAAACCAGTCAAGTCACATAGAAACTTGCAGTGAGGCAGCACAGCAAGTGAAACCTACAGATCAGTGGGTGTGTTGGCTTTGGCCAAGTTGCTGAGGTATTGGTAAATAACGCAAAGAATGTTAATTGTAGAAGAGAATTTCAGCCATGGTCAGAAGTAACATAAGAAGTAAATTCCAATCACAAGAGAGTAGACTGCATTCTTGCTACCCAAAAACATAACACTGTTAGAATTGGGAAATCATACATGGTGGCCTCTAATTATTGCACTTTCTATACGGTGGAAATTTTCTTTGCCCATATCCTAAACTGACCCTTTCCCACACCCAATACCACCCAACCTCAGCTCAAACCCACCCCACTCACCCAAAACTACACAACCCCACCTTGAAGCCACCCCCACCCCTAAACCACCCACCTCACCTGAAAGGCTGAAACCACCCCCACCCCCCCGAACCACCCACCTCACTTGAAAGGCTGAAACCACCCCCCCCCCCGCCCAAACCACCCACCTCACCTGAAAGGCTGAAACCACCCCCCCCCCCAACCACCTGTAAGGGCTGAAACAACTCACCCCTACCAAAAAGGTAGTAATTTTAATTATTTATTGATTACAAATTACTACCAATTTTCATATCATACTAATTAATGACAATAAATAAATAGTCACAGTAAAAACATTCTACTCATTCAAAGAAAGTACACTGTTTAATTAAGGGAGGCTAGGAGGGTGACTAGTTTGCTCAAAACAGTGAAAAGTCCCCAAATGATTGTTAATATCCTAGGACTTGTTTACAGAACTATGAAGTTCCAATTTTTCCCTTACCATTCAGTTCAGAACATAATCCATTCTATCACAAACCAAACGCAGGGGTTCACCAACTTTTAAATGCAATAACAAATTACTTCCTTCGTTCTCTATTAATTGCTACAATTTGCTAATTTAGATATATCTACATACTCAACTTTGTTAATGTGTTCTACCTATATCCCTCCTCATCACATGGTCCCTCTTTTCATCTTTCTTAATCACTCTCCTATTCTAAATTTGTGTGCCCAGTTATATGTAGCATATTTAAAGCACAGTGGAGTAAATTTTCTAATGTTTACAGTGATACCAAGTTAAAGACACTTGAGCACAGCACTCAGGAGAAGAGGCAAAAGAACCTTAAAAGAAGCATGCTTAGCAGTTAGCAACAACAAAAGGTTATGCCAGAACTGGATACCTGATAGAGAATGTGCATCCAATTAGCATTTCTTGGTCCTGGAATATGCTTTAATATCACACCACACTTTTCAAACTCCCGTAAGACTAAATTAGTGTCACCGGGAGAGAATCTGTTAAAACATTTGTATTAAAAAAAGGTCAAGAGATGGTGCATAAATTATAAAATAGCATCATGCTCACATATAATAGTCAAAATGAATGTCATAACTTACCCATAAACAGTGACCCATTCTTCTTCATTGAGGTTACCAGCTGGAGAACTGCTCCTTTGCATCTCAGGCCTCGCTACTTCCCTTGGTGCAGGAACAGTAATCAAAGCTCCTGGCTGAACAACACCCTCGACAGGGGATCCTTTTCCCTTCTCTTCTTGGTCACTAGTGCTTTTACTAGGGGACCACCAATTCATGCCTGAGGACCCTTGTTGATTATGCTGACTTGTTGTTAAAGCCATTGATGTACTAGCCTCAGATTTGCTTTTAAGAGGTGTTGAGAACTCTCGGCCAGAAGTCTGAACAGGAGTTCTAGGATCTGACCTAGGTTCAGGAGACATTGGATAGTCCATAATTCCAGATTCCGGTGTGAAATCAGACCGGTCTTCTAAAGAAAACATTGGTGGAGGCGGAAGATCAGAACTTGCGAAATTTTCACGCCATAGGGCAGAAACTGCCGCTGCTTGACCAGGGGTTGAAAATTTACCCCTCCTAGACGAGACAGGTGTAGCTAAATCATTGAAAAACAATGACTGTCTTCCCGATTTCGGGGTTCTATGCACCGTTGAACTCATCTTCGGATATAGTTTTACAACAAAACCTCTGCAATAATAAAAACCAAAACATAACAAAATGAATAGAGTGAGTGTAAGGAACAAAACTATATACCACATCTAATCTGAACTATGAACGCAAATGAGATAGACGCTAAGCATACGGTAGGAACAACAGCGTTCACTAACAATATACAAATATTCAAATTCGAGAAAACAAGAACAATAAACAGACAGCATACTCTTTCTTATTCAAGGAGTAGTGGGCATCTATAAAACTATTCTACCCTTTCGTAGAAATAGAACTCTATTTTCAAATCGAAGTCCTACAAATTTTACAGGTTTTATAGTAAGAAATTTCACATAGGTTCATCATCAATTCATCAGAAAATTCCACCAATTTGTGAGAAACTATTCCAATCATCACATCGGTCCGAAACAAAGTAATAATTTGAATGTCTGCCAACTCAAAGCAGGAAAAAGAGCGGAAATTGCTAAGAAATATTTACATATTTCCCCAACTAATCCCAAATTATTCCAACAAATTGTTAAAGACTTCACCATTTTCCTATGCATTTCCTTTCTACTGCCCCCAATTGCTTTACAAAGCAGATTCCATACTTCCAATTTAATAAAACAAAAACATGCATAAAATGTAATATATCAACAAAAACACCAAATCAAGGGTTTCAAAATTTCAATTCAATTAAACTTCTACATCAAATTGAACAAACTCTGAAAACTAAAAAACAGCAATTAAAAAATCAAATTCAACAGAAAAAATTAAGCTAGTTTGAGAGGGAAAAACTGAATTAATCACGAGAAGAAGTAAAATAGCGAAGAATTTACCTAACCGCGGAAAATGATTTGTTAGAGATTTAGGGTTTAAGAGTATTAGGGTTTATAGAGGGAGGTGAGAGAAAGGTAAAGCTAGAATGCAACAAAAATACGACGGCGGTAGTCGGAATCTTAGGTTGCAGAGATGTCGGCAATATTTTCCGGCGAAGAAGAGAGAGAAAGGGGGAAATGTAGGGGGAAATGTTAGTGGTGAAATTAGGATTCAAATTGATCGGAGTGTAAAGAGAGCGGGGAGAATGGAATTGTGCAGCGGGGTTGCAAGGTTTCCGCTTTCAATTTTATTTATGATAATGACTATATTGCCCACTTATAAACCCCACTTTCATTGTATGGCTGGCCAATGGCCATACTGTGTTGTCGGAGATATTCAAGGAATTCCTGGCGAGTAACCCCCAGACCGATTAACTTTGAGTAATCTCTGACCGAGTTATTCCTCGAGTAGCCCTACTTAGTACCCATGACCGAACCCTTAAATAACTCCTGATCGAGTAACTCGAGTAACCTCGGTCACACGGTGGTGTGGCCAACCACATATAAAAAATTGTGTTAAAAATGTCTTCAATTTCATTTGAATTGAAATTTGTCAAAATTAACTTCACAATAGTTTGGAGCCTTGGATAGTTGGAGTTAGGTTTTAGGAGTAAGATAATTTTGAAGAGTAAGGTAGTGTCTGTTGTACTCCTTTAATGATAAAAATGAGTAATCTTCAAAACATATTAATTATACAAGTATTGCTTACATGAAAATTTGTTAAACGGGTGGATAGATGGTTTATGAATGGAGTGGAGCATTATTCGAAGCCTATCTTACTAGTATATCACATTGGGTTTTCATCCAATTTATTAAAGCAAGTGATAGATTAAATCGACACCTATCCATTCAATTTGTCACTTCTACTACTGGTGTTAACTTGTTCAAATAGAATGGGAGTAAAGTGGCATTATGTACAACTAAACCAACTCCCTCACTAAAATTACATGAATTCATATATATTACGTACAAGTATATAATATTGTAAAGCAAAGACATACTTCTCTAAAAGTTGACATCTTACTATCTCATATATCTTGATATGCCTGCATATGATAAATCATATCAAATCGTTGTAATATATTCACCGCACAATTAGTTTCTTGAAATGCATAGTCAACATAGGCAAGAATTTTCTGTATCGTTCCAATTTTATTAGATGTCTCTAAAGAGACCATATAAATGAGTAATAACATCGAAGAGATGCGCAAGTAGCTGTTTAATATCATCACTTATAGTCTCTTTATTTATGTAAAGATTAATAACATGAAGAATATTGAAGACTAAAAAGGAGCAGTAACAGGCTCCTTTTGCCTAACTTCATCAGGGGACTGAATTAGAGGAGTGTTGCATAAGCAATGGTGTGACTTTTCTATTTTATTCTTTTCTTCCTTGATGCATTCATCAACGTTACTAGTAGCATCAACTCCGATTATATTATCATTTACTTCACCAATTTGCTCCATTCCCTCCCTCAATCCCTGCAACACAATAATCAATTGCTAAAGTTAAAAAATAAAATCATAATCAGTTTTTTCTTTTCACAAATTATAAAATTACGGAGTACAATTAATAGTTAAACACTTATTGAGTTAATGTCATATCTTGTCATCGACTTTGACAATTCTAACTAGTACTCATAGTATACTAGTATAGTACAATTAATGCATGTCGCAAACAAGTGAAACAACTACTATTGTTAGATGAGAATCAAGGTTAGCCTAATTTGTTAGAGGTTTTCCTTCCCTCCTGAAAGAGGTTCGATTCTCACCCCAAACAAGTAGAATCTCCAATTTCCCCCTACTCCTTACTTGCAAGGGAATTTCTAGACGCCTAGAGTAAACATTTTTATTACTACCTCCATTACATATTATGTGCAACTTTTGAGATAAAATATTCAAACGTGGCACATAATATGTAATAAGTTGAAGTTTGAAAGGTAATGACTAACAGCCCACAAGACTAATTGTTGGCCCAATTTAATTTAGCAGAAATACGTTCATCATGCATAACTGGGCCTTATTTGGGCTGCCCAATTAAAATCAAGAAAATCGAAGAAGTTTTAACAAAAAATACGTTTAATATTTATGGGCTTTACCTGAATGAAGACTTCTGAGGCGATTTCTGGCTCCAAATTTTGTATTGCTACTGCCTGTTCCTACGACATAAAAAATTTCTTCAGTATACTGACATTGAGAGATAAACATTAGGAAATTTCTATCATTATTAAAATAAATAACAATAATGAATAATGAAGAGATAAGTAAAAGTCCCTTCAAAAAAAAAAAAAAAGAGAGAGATAAGTAAAAGTAATAAAGTATACATGTATCCGAAACCATCACAGATACACAGGTAAGTAGGTATAGAAATACGGTCTCGCATTATTTATACATGGTTTACAAAAAACAACCACCTTATATAGATTTGCCAATATTGCCATTCTTTGATATCATTTGATTTCCTTTCTCCTTTTTTACACTCTAACACACATTATTGTTTTTTTTTTTTTTTTTTTTTTTTTTGACATCAGAAACTAAAATAACATTATTGTTATTTTTAAAGGATTAGATTAGAAGAGATTTACTCCGTAACATATTTATGACTTAAAACTTATTGTCTTTTATAATCCCACGATAACACAATTAATACGGAGTACTCCGCAATACTTAACATTTTATGTCAGCCTAATAGTCATTTCATCACATAGTATTTTTTTTCTAGCTTTATTATAAAAGCCCGTGTATAAAATAGACCAATAACCTAGTTAGTTATGAATATTATAGTTTGAGTTAATTTAATATTGAAGCAACAATTAAACAAGTACAACCACTCTGTCAACTAGAAAAAGTTTGTAATTGTTGCATATAATGTGCATAATTATATATTTTAAATTTTAACCTACTACACAAACTCTGTAATTAATACAATTTGTGAGATCAAAGTAATTGCCTCAATAAGTAGTAAATAAATAAAACCCAAAATTGTTTTAAGTCATAGTGTCTATATATTAAATTTTATATTGATTGATTGTATGCTATACCTACATGCATATTGAAATAAAAACAATGTAGCTTAATATACACTCTTTAAATATATTTTGCAAAAATTAACAAAAAAACATATATAGGAACATTTATTAATCACTTTTTATCTTCAGTACTAAATTTAGGAGAGCAGAAAATTACCTTAACATGGTTAATCTGTACTGGACTCAAGGTCTTAGGCTCCATTTCAATGGCACAAGGCACACAAGCCATAACAACGACGACGACAACAACAATAAGTAATTATAAGCAACTAGTTGATTGTTTGTTTAGTTAAAAAAACATCACCTTTCAAAGAGCTATATATAATAACAAGTTTTCTTCAAATTCCTTAGCTTATATAGGGAGTACATAAATAACTTAGGTGTGTCATATATAATTTGTAAAGTTCTAAATTTCTACAACGTTCACGAGATTTTAGTTTGACTTAATAAAGAGAAGGACTTACAACCAATAAGAAGATAACCTAAGGTGTACTGTGTTCATTCGCATCTCGTGCCCTAACATGTATGATTATTTTGTGCAAAAAGCTAAGGTAATTGTTTGATTTTTATGTTATAGAACTATATCAACTTCACAAGGCATTTTCACCAGCTGTTTAACTTTTTTATTTTTCAACTATATCTCTATGTATGGTTACATTTATAGCCTCTTCTTGCAACCAAATTAGCTGTAATGCTAATTTTTGTGGAATATGTAACATACTTTAAAATAAATAAATAAATAAAAATAAAGAATTACCTATCTAGATATTTTAATAGTTATTCGTTCATTCCCTCCTCAAAATATTGTTCCTACTTTGACAACGATCTTCAAAATAAAATATCAAGTAAGGAACAATAGTACAATTGAAAACAGAAGGGGTACAGACGGGTCAAGTGATAGCTCAGGTGGTAGGAGACTGAATCCTAGTGTTAGTTGGGAAAGGGGGTAATTGGGGAAGTTATGATAGAGTGTTGGGCCTTTGGGTGTAGCCCTAATAAAGGGCAAATTATAGGATAACGTGTAACCTAAAATTGCCCTATATTCAAAGAATGGACAATAAATCTATTTAACGTGGTGATCGATACACTAATATACTACTTGATGTTTTATAAGATGATCTTGTTATGTATCTATGTAACACCCCCAAATCTCCCTCTACGGAAATATCAGTATAATACGTATAATTATACCGTAGAAATAGACTTGGGCGTATTACCGCTGCGTGACTACGCAAGCCTACTCAAAACTTACTAAACAAAACCCATACTTTGCAACGGAAAACTTCAATACTCTTCTTTTATTAATAATAAACCATAAATAGTAACTATAGTCATAAGTACTCAAAATAAACATCAAGACCAACATTTCCTAATCTAGGTGAAACCATTCCCGAGACTCCAAATGCTCAATCATTGACTCCACTAGAAATTAGTCACCACTGCTTACCATTACAATAAACAGGGCGAACCAAAACAAAATAAGAAATACGGGTTAGCAAAATATGCTAAGTACGATAAGTGCAAGATAATGTAAACTCAATTTATTATCAAACATGCTTTTGAAATCAATTCCATCCATTCCAATAATTCCAACTCATAATTCCAAAACCAATTTCAATAATAATAATCAGTAGTCAAATTCAATAAAACCAATTCCCCATTAAAATCCAATTCCTTTAAAACCAATTCCTCACCCAAGTGTGCACACCCTCAAGTTAGTCTCCTTATGTTACAAGGCTATTCTTGATAAAAGATCCGGTCATACAAAGTCCAAGACCTTATCAATAAACCAAATCCGCATAGTGGGATTACCAACATGGTTGTAAGCATTAATTTAATAATAACTCAATGATTCAATAAATCCAATAATTCCAACCTTTAAAATAATAATTCAAACTCCTTTTTATTAAATACAACATGCTTCCAATAATCAAACCTTTTAAACATGAATAATAATTTTTAATTATTTAAAACTTGATATAAAATCAATACTCCAATTTATTTATCAAATTCAATTTATTTAAACATGCTTTTATTTTATAATCATAATTCAATTCAATTTAATTCAATCATCATAAAATCATTCAAACATGCATATTCAAACCAATCACTTTCAAGGTATCTAACCACCTAACGTACTTTGATCCTTGATTAGCAAAATCACACAAAAGGAACCTCAAGAATCTGTATCGAACACACTGTACAAATAAATATAACCTTAATTAATATAAGGTTAACAAATAATCACAATAATCAAATTAAAAAACCCCAATTATATGTGCCTGAACCTTTTAAATTAATTTCTCATAAACATCATTAAAATCTAATTTTATATAATTAAAACTACTTATAATAATTTTTTATAAATCCCCCATAATAACAATAATAATTGAATAAGAGAAGAGAAGAAGAAAAGATAAGAAACCAAGGAAAAGATAAGAATTGGGTTTGCATTGGAAAAAATAGGCAGAACTTGCAGACGTTGTAACTCCTTCGATATTACTTCGAATTGGGTGATTCTTGAGCCTAATCTCAAGGATGTTTTGAGAGGAACAATCTCCTGCGAAACGCCATTACCCCAAAAACTGACCAGAAGTGCCCGAAAATTGGCTTCAAAGATAAACGGGATGATTTGTATAAAAAGAGGAGAAGAAAAGAAGAGAATTATATTGGTGTGAAGAATGTGAGAGGTATAGAGGGTATTTATAGGCTAGCTCATGCAAGAATTATGGCAAGATAATGTGGGAAGAATTATGGCAAGTAAGGTTTATGGAATTACTTGGAGAAGTAAATGAAAGAAATATGGAATTACTTGGGGAATAATCAAGAGGAATAAAAGGCAAGAAAATATGATGATCAAATATTAAGAAGATGGAAAATTAGAATTAAGAAAAATAAGAGATTTTGGGAGATAATTAAATATACAATTTACCAAAATAATTTCCCCTAAAATAATACAAGACGGCCAAAAATCTGAGCTATAAATCTTGAGCTTTTCATAGCTCGGATTTTCGAATTCCCAAAGTAGTATTTAGAAAGATTTTTGCTCGATTTTAAAGAATAAAATAATTGTGTAAATAATATAAAATAATTAATTAAATAATTAGTTAATTAAATACCAATTATTCACCATTAATTAACTAAGAAAATCATATTTTCTATACATATAAAATCCGAATTTCCTAGCTAAATAAATGGAAATTTTTGGCCATTTAATATAATTAATAAATATAATTTTGCTTTAATTAAAATGTCTGAAATATATAAATAATCTGGTTTTAAAAATAAGATTAATGGATAATAAATCTTATCCAAAATAATGATTAGATTTCAAAATACTTTTAGCGACAAAATTCAAATATCGCTTTAAATAATAAATTTATTAAAATACCCTTTTATAAAAATAATTCCTAATTAATTAATTAGAAAATAGGTATGAAAATACAGGGTATTACGATCTGTAAAATTGAGATTTATCAAATGTGTAGAAATTATCATTGTTTTAATGTAACAGCTATTTCATGTGTTACTTCTTTTATTGAAAGTCGAATTGAGATAATACCTTAATTGACATTTTGGATGATAACGAAGACTTAATTTATGTAAGATTGAACAAATGGTATCAGAGCGAATGGTTCAATTTGATGAACTCATTAACGCATGTTAGGAATAACGGGGTATCTCATGAAATGATGAAATGACCACCAAGTGCCAGAATGGGTTGATATAAGAACAACAACTAAACTTATAAGCAACTAAATATAGCTTGAACTCTTGATGGAAGGCATTGTGCAATTTATGCATTGACTATGCAATAGCGGACCTATTAACCCCACATAGGGAGCACCCTGCATCCCATTTTATGAAAAAAAAAACCCAAATTCTTAGGGCCAAGTTAGTTTTCAAAAATAAAAGCCCAAAATTTTGGATTTCTATTCCAAATATCTTTATTTCATAAGCTCACAAACACACCTACTTTTTTACTTCTTATCTTCATGCTTTTTCACTTGAAGATATGGCAGCTATTTAATTTTTTATTTTTTTTTTCAAATTTTGATCACTCGCGTGAGGTGAGCAATTAGGGGAAAGAAATGAAATTCTTTTAATTTTACAAAATCTAGTTTACCACTTTCTAATTTTCTCTCTCCAACTCAAAGTCTCAAACACCCATACAATTTTCTAATTTTTCTTTCCACCTCAAATCTGAAACAAAGAAATACTCGTATCAAATATTCAAGTGCACCAACAAGTTTATATGCTCATCAAATTGGTGATAATTCTTCTTGTGGCAACCGCAAGTGTAGAAACTAGAAAGAGCATTTTTATAAGCTATGAAATAATATAGATGATCATTTGCTCAAAAAAAATATATAGATGATCATTTTCAAACGATTGTTTGGATTCTTTCATAGATAAATATTGCGCTTCCAGACCAAGAAATTAAAATCGACAAGAACAATTGTAATTTCTTTTAAATTATGTGTTGCTCTGTTTTCCGTTATAAATAATCATGGATCTTTTTCATGAGTACAAACCCTATTATTTATTTTATGTTATTAAAAACAATTTGTAATTTTTGGTGATACGTCTTTGACAATGTATTACTTTGTACTCCGTATGTTGGGATGATTAAGTTGAAAGTTTATTTTAGACCCCATTTATAAATTTCTGGATCCCCTAATATGACTATAATGATCATGACATTCATATTTAGCAATGGAAGTCTCCAGGTGTTACAAGACCAACTAGATTTTTCTATTATATACATGTCTTATTAATTTAATTCTAGATTTCTAGAGATGGTATTGAGTAATAATTAAATTACAAGTATGAAGAAGTATTACGTACTATTTATGGATATTTCCATATTATATGATTATACTCCGTATTATTTTTGTAATATTACATACTCCTATTAGCTCTTTGATTAACATATGCTAAAGTATACTAAATTACTAATTCATATGAAGTACAAATACACCTTAATAAGTTTATAGCTTCTTTAAAAAAAAACACACCAAGTACTTTTGTAAGGTGAAAATAAAAAAGAACACGACTTTAAAGCTTCAACTCAACCCAAATTAAATTTAGGCTTGAGACCCATCTAGCTAGAATTAGCCCAAAAAACCAAAAATTCGAGTTACCCTTCTCCTTTGACCCATAGCCCGGTTAAAAGCCATACAAAACCCGACTTGACCCAAGCAAAAGCCCGAAAATATGATCCGGTTTTAGCCTCTTTGCGGCCCCTTGACCAACTCTATCACCACAATTTCTCCATACTACTACATTCACATGCAATTTAATTATAGTCTTTCATCCCTTTAATATGAAAATGATA